GACAGACAGACAGACAGACAGACAGATAGATAGATAGATAGATAGAACTACAACAGAAGATAGATAGATAGAACTACAACAGAAGATATAGATAGATTGACAGACAGACACATAGATAGATAGATAGATAGATAGATCAAAGTTTTTATTAAATCTATTTTTTATAGTTTTTTTTAAAATTTGATCTTATTTCAGTTAACATTTGTTTTATTTTAAGCAACAAAAAAGGTGGTGGGTTAAAAATGGGTAAAAAGATATGAGTGACCTCAGGGTGGGTCAAACGATCAAAGTATTTTTTATATAAAGCAAATAATCTACAGAAGGTGTGACGCACATGTGACACATTTACACTTATGATAAATGCAGTTTTTATGAAAGTCTAATGCAATCCCTTTTGCTGAACATCATGAATGGTGTTGTAATAGGGTGATGACGTCTGTTAGAAAACTAGCTGTACCTTCTTGACAGCCAGGTCATGTTCACCTGCCCTCCTGAAGACTGACTGAAGACCATTCATACACTTCAAATGCAACCATAATAAACTTTAGCTAAACCTGTGTCAAACTGGCACAAAAGGGCAGCTTCTCTGACACTTCTGCCGCCCGTGGCTCATTGTATCCACTGCTAGGGTTACGTCATACCTAACCTTTCTCTGCTTTGTGTAACTGTCAATCAGTAATTATTCGCAAGGCACCACTGTGTCTCATTACTCATGAACTACAGCAGGTCTCTTCAGGGTACAAGACTCTTGTCGCTTTTTTACGGACAAGGTGCAGATGAAAGCGTTCATTGATTGATGACGGACGGCATTTCTTTGTCTTTTCCAACAGGTCCGTGTCAAATTATGCGCAAATTAATGAGGCCATTTGAGACGTTGTGAGTGGCTTTTCAAAGGATGCACTAAAGTGAGCAAATGATACTGAGTCTAAAAGAATGAAGGATGGTTGTATGGTGTTTTCAGAAGCGTTAGATTAATGGCTGGAAAATGTTTAACATTAACAACAGAGGTGCCAGTTTATAAAGTGTTTAGTTTTCAAAAACAGTGGGGAAAGATATGAAGTGCAGATCTTTGTGCTCTGACGTCACATTCACAGACCGTTCCTTACCATCTGATGCATATTGCACAGAAAACATCAAGCAGCATCCAAAAAACACTGAAAATAAATTGGTGTAGAAACAGTTTTCACTCCGAAATTGGGCTGATACAATAGTTAATTTGTAAAAATTATTTTCTTATTATATTCTGCTGTTTGAGTTACACTATTGTTCAAAAGCTTGAGGTTCGTAAAAAAATTTAAGAAATTTAACTTTTAAGCAAGGATGCATTAAATTTGCAAAAATGACAGTAAGCACATTCATAATGTTAGAAAATATTTATTTAAAATAAATGCTATGTAAACTGATTTCTGTTGTTTTGTTTTTTTAGTTTTATGGAACAAGTATATAAAATGCTGACAATTCATCTGTGCACATTTTTATACTTTTAAATGTTTTAAGAACGTTTTGATAACATCACTTCAGAATGCTCTCTAAACATTTAAAATGTCCAGTTTTTAAAAAAAGTTTAATTACTTTTGAATGTTCTCTGAATATTTTGAAAATAGTTATAGTAGCAATGTAAAAAAACATCTAAATACAAACTTTTTAGAAAAAAAGTCCCTTCAATAAATCCCTACAAATAATGTTTTTTTGTGTAAATGTTTTAACACCATTATTAAAGCCCAGATAACTTTTAATGAATGTTTTATTACTGAATAAAAAGTTACTTTTTACTTTTAGTTTTAAGGAACAAAGACATAAAAATGCTTATAATTCACGTGCACATTTTTATATTTCTTTCTCATCAAGAGTCTGAGAAAGAGTTCATACACCTTACGAGACGTACTGAAATGCTTTCTGCCAGCTTTCTAGCCAATCAGCAGACTCTTAAAAACAATGAATGGGCTTTGGGAAGCGAGGTTGTGTAGAGGTGAGTTAACAAGTGCTTTAATCCAGCGTAAGCCTACAGTTATATTTGAAATGATTCCATAATCTCTGCATCAAAAACAAAAGTGCTGGATTACATAGAGCAATCACAGTCATTAATATGAAACATTTTGGCACAATATGAGATGAATTGTCCTAGATTCATCCCTGAGAGGGACCTATCACTGTCCCACATATGCGAGTGTGTCTGAACGCTGCAGCTCACAAAAAGCTCAGAGCTGACCTGCCAGATAAACCAGACATGACCTTAATCTGTGGAAAAATATCACATAGATATAGCAATACAGTGAGATTCCCTCAGGACAGGTAAGAGCAAATACATAGATTAATTTCTATGATTTACAAATGCATGGGCTCATTTCTTAAACTCTGTCCTTTAGTCACCTCATTCTGATGCTCCTAGGACAGAGGTTACACGAAATCAGTCAATTCCTAAAAAAAAACATATTTTCTATGAACATTTTCATAATGTTCACAAGTAAGTTACGAAAACATTATTTCAGAATGTTCACTGAACATTCAAAATATACAGTTTTAAAAAAAATGGTTTTTCATGTTTATACGATCATTAGTGAAAACATTAAAGGGGTCATAGGATGCTACATGCACTTTTACAAGTAGTTTGAACTGAAATGTGTGTTGGCAGTGTGTGTACACAACCACCCTATAATGATAAAAATCCACCCAGTGTTTTTTTTTTTATCTGGTTAAATGTTTTCCCCTTTCTCAAATCAAGCCGATCTCAGATGCCTGTCTGTGTGACGTCACACAGACAGGCCCCTCCCATGATAGTTTGATTGAGAGTAGCGTCTCATCACAGACTGGACTGGTGTCTTAAACAGTCTCTCTGAGAGCAGCTCGGAAGAGAGGGGCGGGGTCAGCAGAGCTCATTAACATTTAAAGGAAAATGCTACAAAAACGGCTTGATCTGAAAAGAGCTGTTTTTGACAGGGTAAAAAAGGTGTTTTTTACACTACCATTGAAAAATTTTAACCAAACTATGTAACAGACTTTTCATTAAGACCCTAATGAATCATTTCAGCTTGTGGAAAATGGGCATCCGATGACCCCTGGGAGTGTTCCATTTGATCATTTTGCAAAATTAATTTTGAATGTTCTCTGAATGTTTTGAAAGTGGTTAGTAGTGACTAAAACCCATCCAAATAAAAATGTTTCAGAAAAAATGTCCCTTGAATAATATATAAATAATGCTTTTGTGCTAATGTTTTAAGAACGCTATCAAAGACAGATAACTTTAAACAAATGTTCTATAAACATTATTGGAAGAACGTTTCTTCATAACTTTAAGAGAACCTTGCCAGAACGTTAAGTTTTAATGTAGATTTCTCTTTAAAAGACTTTATCCATGCAATGAAAGTCCATGCAGTGAGCAATATTTTAATATTTTATATATATTTATTCACACTTCAGTTCAATTACTGCCCTATAATTAACTTGGTTCTAAGTAATTTCAACTTAAATTATATTAAACTGACTTTTAAAAAATCAAGTTGACTCTCATATAACTTATATAAAAAATTGACGAGTTAAAGTTGCCCTGACTTACTGATAATTTAAAAAAATTTACAGTGCAGTTTTGCAGTTTTTTATGTGCTTTGTAATTTTTATGACTTTCTTTTTTTAATATTTCTATTTAGCTTGGTTTACTTTTGTTTCAGTTTTAGTTTTAATAATTTTAGCACTTCTAGAACTTAACCTTATTTTCAGTAAGTTCAGTCTAATTTTTAAGTTGAAGTTTTTTTTTAAAGTTATTTCAACTACATTTCAGTTAACAAATACACTTACAGCTTTTATAGTTTTGTAATTATTTTAGTTTTTGTTATTAGAACAATAACACTTCATGGGGTCCAGTATTGTTTTGGACCGGTGTTGTTTTGGATGTTCTTTTGGACAAGAAACATTCTTCAAAAAAAACTTATTTTATATTCAGCAGAAGAAAGTCAGGTTGGACTATCAAAAATCATGTTGATGAACTATCCCTTCGAGCTGAAAGCCACAGATTTGATCATCTACCACAGCATACCGTATGTAGTTCTAAACCTTTCGACTAAAACTTTGGGACAAATCGTGTACAAAATATGTTAGTATGTCCTCTCACCTTCCTTTTGGCTCGCAGTTGTCCAACATAATTGTCCGATGAATCTCCAGGAATCTCTCCTCCCCAAAGTGTCACCCCGACTATAGTGTAGGTGATAGCCATGACCACTAGGGGCAGCATGTACACCAGCACCGTTACTATGATGTGATACCTGCACAGGTGACAGGACAGGAAGCCACTGTAAAAAACAAGTGGCTTTTATGTGCCTCACCAAATGATAAACCCAAGTAGGCCTATCTAATGCTTGGGTGTTTAGACAATAAATTTGGATTGTGAGTCCGGAAGACTGTTTGCACTTCTTACACACCATTTGGCCACTGGTAAATAGATAATGTGTTTGGTTTTCTCGCCTCACTGGCAGATGGCACTTAAGGAATCTCTCCTCCCCAAAGTGTCACCCCGACTATAGTGTAGGTGATAGCCATGACCACTAGGGGCAGCATGTACACCAGCACCGTTACTATGATGTGATACCTGCACAGGTGACAGGACAGGAAGCCACTGTAAAAAACAAGTGGCTTTTATGTGCCTCACCAAATGATAAACCCAAGTAGGCCTATCTAATGCTTGGGTGTTTAGACAATAAATTTGGATTGTGAGTCCAGAAGACTGTTTGCACTTCTTACACACCATTTGGCCACTGGTAAATAGGTAATGTGTTTGGTTTTCTCGCCTCACTGGCAGATGGCACTTAGTGTGGAGATAGCAGGCAATGTAAAGCTAGAAAGAGCATTACCAATGTTTGAGCAGTGGAAGCAAAGCCTGAGAAGCGCAGGCTGTAGAGAAATTACAATCAAGCAGAAGGAAAACCAATCAGCCAGTGTGAACTCATCAGAGGAAAGCTTGCTGTCTTGCTTTCTGCACACGCATCTGGCTTCTAAGACAGAATCCTCAATGAAATCCACCTCATTAGTACCTGCCCTTACCAAAAAGTAGTATACTTCAAGTTTATTTAATTAAGTATACTTAAGTAAAGTTCAAGTATATTTTTTAAGTATACTTTATGTAGTAAGTATACAAATATCAGTGTACTAGTAGTATACTTGTAAGTGTACTATTTCAATACTCCTTGGGACTAAATTGGCCCACTTTTTAGTATATAAAAGTATACTTTTAAGTATAACAGTAGTAAACCTTGAGTACGCAACTAGTTTACATCAACATTTTTAGTTTGTACTGCAACTATACTAAAAGTGAACTTACAGTTTACTAATAAAATACTTGTAGCATTTTTAGTACACTTTGAAGTATAGTCTCAGTAAACTACTAGTTTAGTAGTTTTATACTGCAAGTATACTCGTACGTTTTCTTTAAGTGAACTTTACATCATACTTTAAGTATACTACTATGTCCCTATTTAGGTATTAATTTGTATATATTTTGTTACATGAATATCTGAACATACAAAACATCAAAAGAACAGGGTATCTGCTTGTAAACAAAAACATTTTTTTCTAGCTTCATGCATTCTTTTTTTAAACACTTGAATGTGGATAAGTTTCATAAATAAAAAATAAAGAAATAAACAACATTTTGAACAAAAAGCTGAAAAAAGACTGAATTGGATTCAGAATGATAATCAAAACGTAGATAGAGTCGATCAACACCCCAAAGCTTGACAGTTATTATTACCTCTTTATTGGTCGACATTTTATTCCATAATGTTACACAGTTTTGATGCTGTTTTATGTCTGATGATCGTGTTAGAATACATGTGGAAGCATCTGTTGTTTCGTTTTCTTCTTCACTTGTGTTTTTTGGAAATTCTGTACAGAAGATGTGTACTAGCGCCCCCTACAGTATAACAATGAAAACACGGATTCTAGGAGCACAATTATAGCTAAAATATATCTAGATTTTTTCTAAGTATAAGTCAAGTATACTTAAATGTCATTTTAAGTATATTTCTGAGAAGTACATAAAGCCCATTTCTGAGAAGTACATAAAAAGTAGACTAAAAGTATACTTTCCTATTTGTTAGTTTAAAAGAAGTATACTAATAGCACACTTGAATAAACTTCTTTTTCGTAAGGGTGATTTGGGACTGTTGGTAACAAATGGATCTCTTACATGAACGAATCCTCAGAAGGTCTCGGCCAGGCGACGTAGCAGACGGTTCTGCGAGGCATAGTTCTCGTGGTTGAGTAGAAACACAGCGGGAAGGCCAAAATCACCGCCAGGGCCCAAATACAGACAATCACCACTTTAGTAGCGGTAGCTGACAGCCGGGGCTTCAGAGGGTGAATTATAGCCATGTACCTGCATGAAAAACATGGTTTTAATGAAACCTTTTAGCATTTCCAGAGCTCTTGGAAAGGGAAGTCGTCAAGTTTGGGTAGACTTCTAGCTGTGAAAGGAATCTACAACAGATGTCATTTTTGTGTTTCATTTGAAAGAAATATCCACAATAACGTTTCTATGACTTTACAAAGGAGTGAGAGATCCATTACGTTGGTCAAAAGAGAGAAAGATTTGCTGTGACTCCCTTAGCCGCTTAAAAGGATAGTCACAATCGGAGTTATAAATGTCCTGGCTCTTCCAAGCTTTATAATTGCAGTGAATAGGGGTCGAGATTTTGATGCCCAATAATGTACATCCAACCATCATAAAAGTTCCTCCACAGGCTCCGGGGGTTTAATAAAGGCCTTCTGAAGTGAAGCGAAGTGTTTGAGTAGGAAAGATATCCATATGTGACCCTGGACCACAAAACCAGTCTTAAGTGTCAATTTTTCGAAATTGAGATTTATACGTCATTTTAAATCTGAATAAATAAGCTTTCCATTGATGTATGGTTTGTTAGGATAGGACAATATTTGGCCGAGATACAACTATTTGAATATCTGGAATCTGAGGATGCAAAAAAATCGAAATATTGAGAAAATCGCCTTTAAAGTTGTCCAAATGAAGTTCTTAGCAATGCATATCACTAATCAAAAATTAAGTTTTGATATATTTACGGTAGGAAATTTACTAAATATCTTCATGGAACATGATCTTTACATAATATCCTAATGATTTTTGGCATAAAAGAAAAATATATAATATATATATATAATTTTGACCCATACAATGTATTTTTGGCTATTGCTACAAATATACCCTTTGTGGTCCAGGGTCACATTTGTGTTTATTATAGCATTAAATTAGCTATATTATCTAAATACTATGCATACTGAAGCCATCTGAGGCTAAATATGAACAGTCCCTTGTCATTTGAGGTGTAACATTGAAATTGCATAATTAAAATGTTGGGAATGCATATGAAACGGTCTGTAAATTATTTATTTGCCAAACAACTGCAATTTTCTGCAAATCTGAGACAGTTCCAGAGGGATTCAGATGAGTGGATCCACATCAGCTTTGGCGTCTGCGCTCTCTTGCTATGAATTGTCATTATTGTTCTGTGTTCTCATTGGTTTGTTGGCATGTTGGTGATTTCACGTGCATTTAGGAAATCAGTCTGCAAATTACTCGCCCAAGCGCGAAAATGTGAAACATTTTAACTGTATATTGTCATGTTTCCTCAACCAAAGAATTTCGAAACTTCACTGAAAACTCTTTTTAAAAGTATGACATCACATTACTATTTATTCCCTACCACTCCCTACCATTTAACCTAACCAGTATATACATCCTACACTGACACCTAACTGTAAGGTTTTACCAGATGGTCTTAGTATAATTATCTTTAATTATCTTTAATATTATCTTTAATATGAGGATATATTTACTTATCAAGTAAACTTTAAAAAATGTAAAAGTTCAACCATCGCTTTCAGAGGTCAATTTTTCGAAATTGAGATTTATGCGTCATCTGAAACTGAATAAATAAGCTTTCCATTGATGTATGGTTTGTTAGGATAGGACAATATTTGGCCGAGATACAACTATTTGAATATCTGGAATCTGAGGATGCAAAAAAATCGAAATATTGAGAAAATCGCCTTTAAAGTTGTCCAAATGAAGTCCTTAGCAATGCATATCACTAATCAAAAATTAAGTTTTGATATATTTACGGTAGGAAATTTACTAAATATCTTCATGGAACATGATCTTTACATAATATCCTAATGATTTTTGGCATAAAAGAAAAATATATAATATATATATATAATTTTGACCCATACAATGTATTTTTGGCTATTGCTACAAATATACCCGTGCTACTTATGACTGGTTTTGTGCTCCAGGGTCACATATTTAAAACTTTTCTTTGCGCACAAAAAGTATTCTCGTAGCTTTATAAAATTATGGTTGAACCCCTGATGTCACATGGACTATTTTACCGATGTCCTTGCTACGTTTCTAGACCTGGGAACATTGCAGTTGCATTGCTGTCTATGGGAGGGTCTCACGGGTTTGGAACGACAAGAGGGTGAGTAATTAATGACAGAATTTGCATTTTTGGGTGAACTATCACTTTAAACTTAAAATAGAAAAAATAACAGATGATAACGCATAATAAGCCTGCTTCATGTTGTTTGACTTCATTTTAATAACATCTAGAGTTAATTAGAACATTCTCAGTAATTAAGTGCACTTCCACTGTAAGTGAATTTATTGAAAATATAATAAAATAGGCATAATTTAATCACAAAGGCCTGTAGGTGGCATTTCAAACAATGATAGTTAATAATGTCTCATGTTTATGCATGGAAACAAAGAAACAGCACGCAACAAATTGAATTAAATGTGACATTTTTATGTAGACAGACTGAAATTATTTTTTGAACTTTTTTTTTTTTTTACAGTGCATTGATAAAAGCTATTTTAATACTTCTTAAATTTAAATTTGAATTCTGCATCATGTTTGATCCCTCAATTCAAACTCACAAATTATGCACATGGCATTTCAAACAATGATAGTTAATAATGTCTCATGTTTATGCATGGAAACAAAGAAACAGCACGCAACAAATTGAATTAAATGTGACATTTTTAAGTAGACAGACTGAAATTATTTTTTGAACTTTTTTTTTTTTTTTACAGTGCATTGATAAAAGCTATTTTAATACTTCTTAAATTTAAATTTGAATTCTGCATCATGTTTGATCCCTCAATTCAAACTCACAAATTATGCACAATTAATATCTGAATGGCACACAAGCCTGTCTGAAGTCAAACCTTTTGATAATAGGAACAAAGAGTGGAGGCAGCATATGGATAAACACTCGTGCATGGCGAAAGATTACACAGAGTTAAGATGAAGTGTTGTTCTCTGGCTCCCACACAGCCACAGACTGAGCTTGTCATCTTTTAATGAAGGAAAAGCCCCCCTATGCTCTGGATCATGCAGATCAGTATCCCAGATCTCATCTCATTAGATGCATTCATGACTAACTGGATCCTATGAATAGTGCCTGCATGCGTAATGCTGAAAATGAACAGGTTATAGCTCAATAAATGTAGATAAATCCTGCTGCCGTACACTTATGGGATATTCTGATCCTATAAAATGCAGCAGTCTGTGCTGTATGTCCCAAGTTCATGGGCAGGAAATGAAGTTTCCTCTTTTTCATTGCAGTTAAATGACAGAGGGGTCAAACGGAAGACGTTCAATTTATGAGCTCCCTGATGAGATTATAGATGGATATACAAGAGGAAGAAGCAAGCCTCGCTGGTGGTCCTAAAAGCCTGTTCCTCTCAAAGTGCTGTTCAATCCCTGCAGGCCAATTTTTCATCAGCAAATCAATAGGATTCTCACACCTTCTGAGCAATGAATTCCCATGACTTTCTAGTCTTTAATGATGACTTGATTCAGATTCCTATTAAAAACACTCAAAAAGCAGGGTGATGTCAGGTGAAATGGGGCAGACAAGGTTGGGTTGCCATAGTTCTCAAGATTCAAGACCCAATCATTGTAACTATACTTGCCACAATAGCTTTTGACATGTAAATGATTTGATTGGTCTTGCTATATACAGTAGTTCATGTGTGGAGAGAGCAAACCATTTTACAGAGGCTGGTTTGTAAGGTTTTTATATTCACATGCAGCTACCGAACATCTAAAAACAAGGTAAAATGAATTAAATGTTGATTATTTCTATTAAAAAAGATACAAAATAACTTTTATATAGTTTTATAATTTAATAAAATTAATTATAGAGCAAAGTTTATCAACTAAAAGTAGTCCACTTTATGACTTTTAAAGATGCTTTCAAGCCTTGAAATGTATATCGACTCATCAACAATAAAATTAACACATTTATTGTTCAATTTTAATTTTGCTGTACACATTGATCGGACATTCTGATATTTAAATAGCTCTCACTCATGTTATTTTTGTTCATATTTTAACATAAAATGTTAGAAGAGACTTGAAGAAACACAGAAAGAGCGGTGTGATTCCGTATAATTTTAGTTCTTAGATATTATGTATTTTTATAGTCTCTTTTCTACACTTTTCCAGGTCTAGAATTCAAAATTGTACAACTCCCATTAGAGCCATGAAGACAAATTACAGCCTGATGACGTTATTTCGAGGTCATTAAGGAATTCAAACAAACGTAGGCTATATGCAAACACATTTGGAATTCATAAAATTCCACATGGAATTTACATTAATCATTCACAGTCCTTTATTTGTTATATATATGGACTTTATTTCTGCCGGATAATTTACAGTGGCATTTTAGTGCTTTTTAATAGGCTAGATCAGCCTATATTTTTATAGACTTTTATTATATAGCAACTTTGCAAGGTGTGTAAAATTCCCACGAGTACCCTGAATTCCATTGTAGGTTTGTGTGAATGTTGAATATAGGCTACTGCACGATGAAAATATTAGCCTATAATTAATCATAAACAGCCTCACCTGTCGACTGCAATCGCACTCATGGAGTAAATGCTGGCAAACACGGCGGTCACGGGAAAGAAGTTGTGGAACTTGCAGTAAACCTCTCCAAAGTACCACTCTCCGTGCGTGGCGTAAATGAAGTTGATGAGCGTGTTGAAGGCGGCCATCGAGGCGTCGGAGAACGCCAGGTTCAGCAAGAAATAGTTGGTCACGGTGCGCATCCGTTTATGAGCCAAAATGATCCAAATAACGATGAGGTTTCCGAACACAGCGACCGCCAGAACGGAGCTGTACGCGACCGACCAAATCGCGACGCGCCACGGCGGCTGCACGAACTGATTTGTGAAATTACGCGTTACGTTTGAGCCGCTCTGAGGACCAGCCATGATAAACTTACTGTGATATCCTTCTAAAACAGCTAGGATATGATCTGAGACATATATTTATGCTGCTATAGTGTCAAGTACAGATCTGGCACGTCCTCGTGCGCATCCTCCTGCGCTCCATCCAAAGTGTCACGCGCAGTCATGCTTCATATGACAGACGTCTGGAGATGCTGCTGCTCCCGCCACATGTTGCTGCTCAAATAAATAGAGAAACATGCAAATGTGGGATAGTTTTAGTAGATTTGCAATGGAGGAATGACAAATGCTTTATAGTTTCAACCTACCTAAATACAGCCTACCAAAACAACTTCAGTGTGATGCGACTTCTGAACGAGGCATTTCATTTAACTTCAGCGGCGAATTTATATAAAATGCGCGTTTATGGGAGTTTAACACAATTTGGTTAAAACATTAAGCATGTTCTTTTTCATGAAAAGTGATAAAAAGTTATTTTTGTTCATTTATGGGTCCATTAAACAGTTCTTTATGGGTCCAGGATAGTTTTCCCAAAAAGGAGAACAGTTGACGGTAAACATTGAATTCCATTTTTTTTTTTTCATATAATGGAAGTCAATGGCTAATATCTTCTTTTGTGGTCAAAAGAAGAAAAAACTCATAAAGGAACAGTTTGAGGGTTAGTAAACGATGGCAGATTTTTCATTTTTGGGTGAACTAAAGACTAACATATTGATACTAACACCCAAAAAAACTTTAATTTTGATTTCATGGGGATTTCTTCAAGTACTATAAACGATCAGCTTTGTCTAGAAACCATGGAAAACCAGCTGTCATTATAAAAGTAACATCTACCATATATAAAATACCATGATATCATGTCAGTACCCAGTCACCACATTTTTATTGTAGTAAAAACAGCTAGTAACTGTATTTTTTGTGCAAAATATGGTTAGCATAATGACGAATGACGATGTTATTTGGAATTCAAAATGTCTTTGTAAGTAGGCTACGTTTGGAATTCGTAATGGACCCCTTTCACAAGACTGTGATGACGCGTTTAACGGTCATCAGCATCGTAAATTCTCGAAAGTTTTTCATATTTGTATTTTTTTTTCAATTTATCTACATTTATAACACTATTCTTTGTATTATATCACCTTTGCATCAAATTACAAAAAAACAGTTAACGCTAATGCGAGAGTGTTTCTAATGCAGCGTCTATGGGAGGGACGGTAAATTTGACATCGTTCTCTCTTCTGACAGCCGTTATCAGTCGCTCTCAATTGTTTTCCTTTTATTGAAAGTCATGAAAACACTATCGTGGAGTTTTTCTTTTGCTATTTGAGCAACTGGGAATGCAAAAAAATATATGTGTGGTGCTCTCCCATTCACTGTTCTTCAAGTTTACCCAACTATGACGACTTCCGCTGCTGAGAAACCCGGAAATGTGAAAAAGGTCCATTCCACATTTACATTAACCCCTCTTTTTTGTTACGCATTAACCTTTTTTGTATATTAGTATTGAAATAAGGATTGTAAATTATTGTAAAGATTGACAGTGTTATTGATCACCACACAACAAGTACGTTTATTTCCCTTTCACAATACATATCTTTTTAAAGCAGCTTTACAGAAAATTATTCTTTAAATGTGAATGAGGCCAATGTGATTACGGCAAAGAAATAAACGTCTTAAGATGTTCCTTGATGGAACCAGACTTGGCTCAGGAAGCCCGTCCTCCTCATTACAATAAATTTACATATGCTAAATATTATCTAGTTACAAATTATGTCTTATAGTACTCAAGCATTCACTGAAGAAATTATGATATTTAAAATGTTATTAAGCCAATGTTAAATTTGTACAGATAATGATTAAATAGCATGGATAATGACTAATTTATAGTCCTTTGAGGTTCATCTTAATCTGACTGAAAGATGCAGGCAATGGTGAGTCAAGCGTGTGTCGCTGTCTAGCTGGTATAAACTGTAATTGGCAATAGAGTTGCTTTGTAACGCCTCCCTACATTAATTCACAGTCTTTGAAGTCAATCTTAAAACGGCAAGGCAGTTAAGTGTCAGTAGTTTGGAACTTTTTTAAAAGCCTAAACTTGTGGTCTCTGTTACTTCTTCTCAAATGAGCAATATTCACTGTCTGCGAATGACTTGTCACAACATTCCATAACGTTTTCCACATCTTTCTCTCTGAGCTGACAGATGACGCAAAACAGCTTAGTGTGATGCGAATTTATATTCAGTGCGAGAAGAACATCTTGTCCGACAACAGTGCAACAATTTAATATAATGGTCAAACTATTTGGATGTCAAAAAGACATCAAAAACAAACATCCTGTTATTATTTACTAACGTTCACAGCAAGATTAGAGGCATCTTCATATAGCTCTTTTCTATACAAGAACAGGTCTGTCAAGCTATATAAAAACACAACAAAAGAGCCTTAAAATAGCAATTCAAAGCCTTGTGTATAAGGAACATCAAAATGTACAGCTTTAAAGTTGGGATATGTGGATGACTCATATAGAGTACATTTAAGGTGATTTTTTTTTTTTTTTAGTTTAAAAAACAGATTTCATTCTTGCTCATTTTGTGCATACAGCCAAATGGGTTTTGAATAACATCAGAGTTAATAATAACATAAATCTCATTTTTTGGTTATCTATTACTTTTAATGGAATAGCATTGCATAACTTGCTCACCAATAGATCCTCTGCAGTGAATGGGTGCCGTCAGAATGAGAGTCCAAACAGCTGATAAAAACACCACAATAATCCACAAGTAACCCACACCACTCCAGTCCATCAATTCATGTCTAGTGAAGTGAAAAGATGCATGTTTGTAAGAAACAAATCTAGAAACAAACCATCACTTCTGACCAAAATACGAGTCTATAATCCATAACGCTTCCTCCAGTGAAAAAGTCATCCCCTAACCTAACCCCTTTTCGCTCATAAACACTGCTTGATCTGTGCCTATTTCTCTCCTGATGCAGGCAAGACAACTTTTTCACTGGAGAAAGCAATAGAGAATTCCTATTTTAGGCGAAAACAACCGTCTGAAGATTAATACAGGATTTATTTCTTATAAACGCACAGCTTTTCACTTCACAAGACATTAATTGATGGACTAGAGTCGTGTGTATTATTGTGATTTTTTTTATCAGTTGTTTGGACTCTCATTCTGATGGCACCCATTCACTGCAGAGGATCCATTGGTGAGCAAGTGATGTAATGCTACATTACTCTAAATCTGTTCCCGTGAAGAAACACATTTATATTATATATTTTCAGCAAATTTTCAGTTGTGGGTAAACTATTCCTTGAAACTACTAGCCAAGATAAAAATTTAGCCTGTACCTATGTACACAGTTTCACCGGTGCGTGTGCGTGTTTGTGCATTTACGCTCATGCCTGTGTTTGTCTGTGTGTGTTCTAACCACAGAAAGGCCATGTTACACATCTCACCACGCACCCAGGGTTCAGGTGGTTTCATCCTTTCATCTTCGACCATTTCATTAATCCTTTGATGCTTCCGCAGGTGTTTGAGCTCTCCGGGAAGACGCTGCCCTTTTATGCAGATCTGGCAACCTCCACTAACACCTGTCGGAGGAGTCCAGCTTTCACACTCTCTGTCAGTGCCTGGGGAGAAGCTCTTCCAATTAAAAGGGATTAAACTCTGATTGAAGCACACTTAATGAATCAGATCAACAGTTGCTTCCTCTACTTCACAAGGGGGAATAATGACTAATGGCACAATGCGAGTGTGTGGCTGTGTATTGGGGTGAGCTCTGATGGGGGAATCACCAATCAACAGGTGAATGTTGTAAAATGTGGATTCTCAATTGGTGGGATGCAATTAGGGCTGCACGATTAATCGAAATAGCAGCTCATGATTCAGTGTTTGCAGTGTCTCAGAGCAGCTCGTTTTGCAGTAAAAGTTGCTCCACACAAACTTGTCTCTGCATCTGCTTAATGTGCAATTTGGAATGCAACATGTGCCAACCATCTTCCCAAACGTATAAACTGGCTGTTGTCAAAAATCTGTCATCATTACTCACCCTCAAGTTGTTCCAAACCTATACAAGTTTCTTTCTTCTATTTAGAACACAAGTAGGGCTTCACAATTTGGGGAAGAACCACAACAGAATATATTTTTAAGAATTTTGGTAACCAAATTTTGGTTTCAATTTTGGCTTGTTTCAATCATGGTGTCCTAATCAGCCCCATCTTCACTAGCTTTTATGGAGGGCATCCTAGTGGATGCTGGACACATGGGTGGTGATTGAACAGACTCCCAGACACACTATAAAGTAGTTTGAGTGCCAAAGTACTATATAAATTAAGATAATTGCTATTGATTTAATTCATATACCCTTGACCTTCTAATTCAATTTTTGCAAACGTACTTTGTTCATTCTGGTTTCTAAAGCAGATCCAGCTGAGATCCGCAGGTCGAAAACATACAATGACAGAGAATGAAGAGAGAAAATTGCCTCACGGTGCTTAGTGAAAAGCTTCAACAAGGTTGTGTTTAATGAGAAGACCCAGGCATGTCTCGACTCAAACTCCATAACCATGCCACTACCATCTCTGTCTTCACAACACTCTTGTTGCTGAAGCTCTCAGCGGGGTCCTACTTCACATGTTTCTAGCACTTCAGAACAGATTGCCTTCTATCACTGATTACATCCATTGTGCACACAGCTAGTTTAAAGATCGCTCGCTCCTGCTACAACGAGAGAAGACCCAGTCCTCAAAAGAACTACCTGATTTCATTCAAGCTCTCTGCAGTCTCACATCTTTAATTTCTGGGGTATTTTTAAATCAACTCTAGGTTAGGTTAAATTAATCCTTTCAATCATATTGACTGAGTGCAATTGCCAGTTTGAGTGGTACTGCTGCTGAGATTGAAAGAGAAAATGGATGGAAAAACCAGCTGCTCCTGTGGCATTGTGACATCAAGCTGATTGAACGAGACTGAATTGCTCTATAATAAACTGTATTATTTTGGGTCTTTTCGTAGTTTGAGTCAACATCAATTTGGGAGATGATGGGAGAAACATTCATTACCAACTAGAGTTGAACCTGAATCTATTGACAATATGAATCTAAAAGTACAAGTGCTGTGTGAATTTGGAGAAAATACTTTAAGGCTTAAAGGCAGGGTATGTGATTTTTCAAAAACACTTTAGAAAATTTTATTGGTCAAAATTCATAATTTACAGTGCAACAACAAAAACTGTGAGGAAAAAATATATAATCATCTTAAAACAATCTACTGTAGACATAAGATTTGAGGACGCTGATTGGCTAAGTTTTATGTTATATCTTGAATATGTTTATGTCTTCAATCGGCCATTGGCTAAACTGCTACATAGACCCGCCTCCTTTCTCTATCGCCGCAGAACTGACCTTTAGACAATAGACATGCGCACAGGTAGGGGACATATGGGAAAAACATATATGCATATCAGCTCATATAATTTATAATAATAATTATTATTATTCTCATTGTGTTGAGACATAAGAGCTGACTAGCGAAGGTTACATTTTCTCAAAAACAGCAGCCGTTCATCTCCTGAGGAAGTGCGAGGGAACAGTAACAGGGCATACTGAAACGCTTCCCCGCTTTCTCTGTCATTATGTAAAGTCGTTATGTTTAGGTAAAAATAATAACACACCCTCTTAGCGCATGTATGAGTCAGCAAAACGCTCAAGCTTCATGCTGGAGCTCCAGTGGAAGTGAGAGTCATGTGTGAAACACTGTTGCCAACTAATTTTCAGGGGAAGTTGCTAAAGGAAGGTCGATTTGTTGCTAAAAGTTGCTAAATGACGTTGTGATGTCATTGCGCGATGACGTCATTATGTAATCACGTCGCAAAATTGTGTCACTACATCAAATCTCAGTGCCAAATATACAAAATACAACAAAATATATTTTTGTATGTTAATTTAGATTTGTTCGTAAAATAATATAAATGCATAATATAATATTAAAATATAAATAACTAATTTTAAATACAACATTGAATTATTAAACACTTTCACATTTTTTAACAATTACAATTTAAGTTTATTTTTATTAGCTAGTAAACT